TCTCAGACAAGATTCACATAGGCTGATAAGAAAAACAAAAGATATAAATATGTCAATTAAACAAAGAAAATATTAGGGCTAGATGCTACTCTCTGGAGCCAGGCCAAGAGTAGCTCAACAAAAATATAGCCATAATACCCAGCAGAGAGACAAATGTGCAGTTCTAAACAGGGTTATCTGTTGCTACACTCTGCTGCTGCTTTGAGGGATAGGACCCTCCAACAGCGCCCAGTACTCGACTCTAACTGAAGGTTCCTGTGGGAGGAGTTTGATTTGTGAGTCCATCCTGCAGCCTCGCACACAGAACTTCTCTAGACTCTGTAGAGAAGAGCGGCCACTAATCCTCATTAGGACTCCATACAACGGGACCTCTCCTTACAAGGAGACTGGACAATCATTAAAAGAGAAAAGAAGCAGGCAGACAAAGAAGAGCAAATAGCCTCTGTTTTGTTGTGAGAGAGTCAGAGAAATCTTGGAGGATCAAGGGGGAGTGAGGGTGACTGTTGAGAAGCACTAAAGACGGCAAAGACACTGAGTGGCTCCAGCTGTCCTGTGAAGGGAGACACCAGACAGCGTTGGCTCTGCTTAGATCTACAGACCTGCGTGTAGGCAAGTCTGAACCGTGAGATGTGTCAAAGGCTTCGTTCTGTGCGGCAGTGTGCAGACAGGTGTAGCTTTTGGGAAGTGATGGGATCATGAAGAGTCTGACTTTGTCAGTGAGTTAATACACTGATGGGCCTTTCATTTGATGCTGTTATTGGGAGGTGATGGAGTTTAAGGAAGTAGGTCACTGGGGTGTGCTTTTAAAGGTCAGAGTCTTTAACTGATGCTGGGAAACTCCGAGAGGGTCTCACTCCAGCCCCTGTCCCTCAGAAAGCCCACCAAGGGTTGGCTCCTCCCCTGGAGCTACTCAAAAACCATGCCTACAGGGTATTTAAGACCCGGGCCCATAGACTTGCCACATGGTTTTTCCTCTTCCCCTGGGACCACCCAGGAATGCTTTGCTCACATTAAACCAGGACTTATTAATTTGGCCTGATCTGATCTGATTTACTGTATTGTGCTCAGTACTGGGGGATTTTTACTTATCACACGGTCCCACCCTTCTTCCATCTTCTGTCTGCACAAGATGGGCCACTTCTCTCTTCCATCCTCTCCTCCCATAGTATTCTGCTTTACCATAGCCCATTCAACAAAGCCACCTGACCACCATGGAAGGAAGACTGAAACCATGAGCCGAAGACCCTTCCTCCCTCTGAATGTTTGTGCTTAGGTTTCTGTCACAGCAACAAAAGTCCAACGCAGATACAACGACGGAGCCAGAGAATCATTGTCACTTTTTTTTTTTTTTTGGTAATTTTACTGAGGTCAAGAAAGAATATGCCCATGTTTTTCTGAGGTGCACAATAAATGCATATGTATGATATTCTTAGACAGGGAGACAAGACTGCATCAAAACACATCAGCAGGCACAAAACGTAGATGAAACAATGGGCTGAAGTCTTAATGATTTAAAATCTGATGCTGTTTATTTGTTTGGTTGGTTCGGTTTCATCTCAGTTTTGATTTTCCAAGACAAGGTTTCTCTGTGCAGCCCTGGCTGTCCTGGAACTCACTCCATAGACCAGGCTGGCCTCAAACTCCTGCCTCTACTCCCAAGTGCTGGCATTAAAGGTGTGCGACACACTCAACTGATGTTGGTTTTATATTATACAATTTTGTTGTTTTTATGAATCTTTAAGCATTTTCTTAATAAAAACAGCAAGAAAAGGGGCTAGAGACCTGGCCCAGTCAGTAAGCGATTCCCATGTGAGCACGAGTCCTCCAGCACCCCTTAGCACCTATGTTAAAGGAAGGAAGGAAGGGAGGAAGAGGGAAAGGAGGGAATGGGGAAAGAGGGGGAAGAGGGAGGGAGGAGCAGCTGCATGAAGTTGCACACTTTTGTAATTCCAGCCCTGGGGAGGTAGAGACAAGAAGATCCCAGGGACTTGCTGGCCAGTCATTCTAACTGGATCATTGAACTCCATGTTGCATGATATTTTATGTTCTGACAAAGCTTGCCTAAAGATGAGAGGGGGAAGCTAGCCACTCATTAACTATGGCAGTGGAGTCTCACACCTTTAACCCCAGCACTTGGGAGGCTCATGCCTTTAATCCCAGAACAATCAGGAAGTGGGGACAGGAATATAAGGCAGGTGGAGACAGGATCTCGGCCTCCATTCAGTCACAGTATCTGGAGAAGTAAGAAGTCACTGGTGGCTGCTCCTCTGCTTTTCTGATCAGGTTATCACCCTAATATTTGACTCCTGGTTTTTTATTGATAAGACTAAGTAAGTTCACGCTTCAGCTCCAGGCTTAGAGAGAGACCTTGCCTCAAAAACTGTGGTGGAGAACGACCAGGGAAGACATTTGGTTTGACTTCTGGCTTCCTCATGCACAGGAGTGCACACATGCACACACACAAAAGAATTAATGCTGTGTTGGGTGTGGGGTTCATCCAGGTCCATGTAAAGAAGACAGAGATACTCTAGGCTGGTTTTAGCCTTTCCAGCTGCAGGGGGGTCAGTCTCTAGTGAACTGACTCACTGCTGCTTTGCAAAGGGCTTTTTTATTGTTACACAGTTCACACCTTTAGCAAGTCAGTATACCAAAATTTGTCTCCCCAGAGAGACAATGCCAGTGTGAATTCCCACTACAGGGACATTTCAGTTTGCTGAGTCTCCTGTTGTGAAATGGCTTTGAACTCTTAGGAAAGTCTCAGACAAGATGTACATACTTCATGCCAGGCAGTGGTGGTGCATGCCTTTAATCCTAGCACTTGGGAGGCAGAGGCAGGGGGAATCTCTGTGAGTTCAAGGCCAACTTGGTCTACAAAATGAGTTCCAGGACAGCTAGGATTATTACACAGAGAAACCCTATCTCTAAAAATAAAAACAACAACAACAACAACAAATGATTTACACACTTCAGACAGAAGGTACTGGACACAAAAGGTAGCAGCCACAAAAGGGAGATCAAAGCCAGGTGCTAACACTCCAGAATCAAACATCTGCAGAACTCTGCAGTGCTGTGGGATGGTCTGTATGTCAAATTGCTCTGATTGGTCAATAAATAAAACACTGTTTGGCCAGTGGCCAGGCAGGAAGTAGGTGGGACAAGGAGAGAGGAGAATTAGGGGAAGCGGAAGGCTGAGGCGGAGAGACACTGCAGCCGCCGCCATGACCAGCAGCATGTGAAGACGCCGGTAAGCCA